CAGAAGATTTTACAACAGTGAATAATGATATTTTATTGAAAGTGATCAAGAGAGACGATTTAAATGCTAAAGAAATTTATATCTGGAAGCATTTGGTGGAATGGGGAGTAGCTCAATTAGTTGATTCTCATAAAAGAATTTACGTTAAGCTCGATACTACCCAATGGAAAGATTGTGATTTTATGACTTTCAAAAAATATTTAGACCCATTCATACCATATATTCGATTTCATGAAATGTCTATAGAAGATCTTCACCATAACATTAGACCTTACGAAAAAGCATTACCTAAAAATCTTTATCGAGACTTGGAGACTTATTTTACATTTGATAGAAAACCAAAATGCGCAGAATTGAATTCTCGCATTAGTATCGATTCTGTTATAATTGAAAGAAAACAATCAGAGATTATATCTAGTTGGATTGAAAAAAAATCGAAAAAACTTTCTTGTCAATTTAAACTCTCTTATCGGGGAACACGAGACAAATTTAATTTCAACTCTGTTATCGACATATACGATTGTGATGTCGCAACTCTTTTATTAATAAAGGTCAAGAAGTCTGATTTAATAATTGGCGGATATAATCCTTCAGGTTGGAAAACTATTTATGATGATGATCCTTATGAAGAGCAAGAAGATTATGAAGAACAACAAGAATATTATGAATATCTTCGGGAAAATAATGAATACCTTTGGACATCAACTGAAGATAGGTAAGCTAAATTATCTTTAACTATTTTATGAATTATATTTTACCAGTTTATTTTTATTTCACTAACAGCATATATTTTATAGCTTTATATTTTGTTTTAGAAGACATTCTAATACGCATATACTTAGTCGTGTGGAAATCCCTGAGAATGCAATCTATAACTATAATCAGAATAATGATACTTATGATGAGCCATACATGAATTTTGGAGGTCGGGATTTGGTATTAAATGGACGACATGTGTCCTGTTCGCAATATAGTTATGAAAAGATGTTTGATGGTGATGCTTACTTTGACGCTGAAGAAATTGAGATATTTAAAGTAAAGAGATTATTAGATTAGTAGCATGATCTGCATTGTAAGAGTTTATTCTTTAATAATAATACATGTATGTGCGTGCATTGTAAACTTCCAAAATAATAGCAACAAATTAATAAATGCAAAACTTAGAAAATAAGGCTTTTAAAAAATACATCAAATAAGAAAAATATATATTATTAAAGTTAGAAACGTTAGTTGCTTAATCCGGCTGCAGTATAATAAAAAATATTAGCAATTTATCATGATGAACTAATAATAGCAAAAAGAAATAAAAAATAAAAATTGTTCATAACTTCACGACTGCAATATTTAAAACGAAAAACTCTTCTAAAATTTTTATCTCGTTGAATCGTAAGGCAAAGAAGAAAAACTATATAACGAACTGTTATAGCAGTATAATTGTTTGACTTTGGTAAATATAACAACATTTGGAAGTACAAAAGTATCGTTCTTCTGACAAAAATGGTATTTACTTTCGCAATGTTTTTATTACAATGACAACTATTAATTTTTGCATTTGATTAGTTTCTTGATTAGACGTTTTATTTGTAGAAATTTTATTAGTCGCGTTAAATTTTGTTGGGAACCTGTATTTCTGAACTTGCCTATTGGAATTATGGCCCTTTTTTGGATAACCTTACAAGACAACGCTTTTTTATCCATTTTAGTGTAAAAAATTTTTTCCGAATATTTCCGTTATTTCTTTGAAAACTCCGTGAATCTGCAGCATGATCGACAAAATCTAAACATGCCGAATAATCTCCATGTTTAAGGTTATAAATGCGACATTTATGGACAAAACACGGAATATAAAACACGGATCAACCTTTTTTATAGGGATATCATTACAAAGTTACCCGTAACCGTTCGTAACCGAACCCATCCCTAGTGTTGATTAAAGACATTTAATAATCTAATATCAGCACTCTGTACGTATTAAAGTATTCTATCGATTAATTCATTCATATACGCATTCTCCGTTCCTGGTTTTAGCGCGACTACGTCGCGCAGTTATCTAGTTTGTAAATACATAAAATGAAAATGGTTACGCTACAGTACAAATTTTATTATGTATGTGCGAGTGATACAAATCTAAATTAGGAATTGATTCAATTGATTGGCTGATAATTATCATGTGAATCATGGCAAATCGAAAATGTGTACCAGGTTGTGCTCCGGATGATCATGCGGTTGTCCGGAAATCAAACCAAACGATCCAAACAATCATTAATGATATCGATTAATTAAATAAGGGTAGCTGCGCAGCGCAGAACCAGTACGATCTTATTCGTGCATTGTAGTCTAGAGAGTTAATTGTATAATAATATTAGTTAAATTACTG